TCTCAAAGATTAATAAGGAAGACGCAGATTTCATCCCAAAGCCGAAAGCATGCTTAAGGAAGGCGCAAACAGCCCTGAATGAAATTTCAAAGTGAACCCGTCATCGAAAAAGAAAGAAAATGCATTAAGGAATTCATGTGAAAATAGCTAAAAGCCCTGCCGAACGCGAGAATAGAAGAACAAATCGGTCTGCCTCCGAGGTAGATCCCATACCTTAGTCACTACGCTCGCGCCTGGAGGATTCCGAACCGCCCTCAATGAAGCCCGATGGGTGGGTGGATTTGACAGTCAGGGTGGGTGTGACCCGCGCAGACAGACCGTTTCGCTTAGTCAGTCACTGCACCCACGCCCATCCTCAGTCACCCTGATTACGCTAGGCGGGTTTCGGAACGTGGTGTGTGCGGGAAAAGAGACAGGGAAGTACAACGAAAGTCTGCCGCATTAAAACAAATTTACGTACAAGTCGTGACTGTGTCCACTCCATGAACCAATAGTGGACCACGTGGTTTGCGACTGGACATACATGACTATTTCATACTCGGGTAACAATATTTCTGAAACACACGAAAAGCATGTCAGAATGCTGCAGCCATGTCTGAACGCGCAGGATCGTTCGCATAGAAGTAAATGGGGGTAATAAAGCAAACACGAAGCATCGCGTCTTTAAAAGCACTTCGCAGCAAGCAATTTCCTTTCTTTTCCTCGGTCCAGATTTAGATGTTTTCTAAACGACAGGTCGGTTTTATTGCAGTTTCATTGAGGTAAACTTATTCGGTGCTATTTGGTTACCTGCTACTAACCGTTTCAGGAGATGCTACGTGGATTCCAAAAGAACGTTCGTCGAAAGTTTCATCTACTGTATTTTCGTAAAATAACTATTACGGTGAAATGCATGATTCCACTACTGTTGGGCCTTTCCACCGCCATCTACTTTACCGTAGTTAATACCGCCAGCACAAACTCGTACAGTGATTAATTTAGTAAGCTGACGTGTTTAGTCATAGTCTTGTCTGATATTCAGTGAATTATATCTATGCTTTTGTGACAGACTGCAAAAACATGACATGCTAAATGAACATATGAATTCCCTGGTTAGCGTGAGGCTGTTGACATGTGAGTTGGAGTTAAAACACCATGTAACCATGCGCCCGAAACTTGTCTGTAGCAGCAACGGGTGCTCGGGTTGCAACAGTTTCCTTCTCTTACAAAATAGGATCCAGTTAATTCTCAGTCGATGGTTGTGCAGTAAGGTAAACGGTGTAGCCATGGGCTGTCAAGTAAATCTAACCTTAACGGTTATTGCTATGTTATGCTTCCTGCCACCAAAACTGGTCACGCGACAGATGCGTCGAACCAACACAGGGGCCATATCGGATTCTGGCAGATGTTATCGGAATGCGCATCATAACAAATGCCAACATCTCGGTGCGCGGTGGCGGACCCAGATGCGGCAGTCCTCTCGCACATTGGGGCCCCCTTCCGCACCCCTCTCCCCTCCCATTTTTGTTGTTGATGAAAATCCTGGTCAATTGTTTGTTGTGGACCGGCGTGTGGATTGAACGTCAAGGTGCGGGTTTGGCCGCGCCATTAACTTGCGTCATGCATCATGTCATGCATCAAGAGACCTTTGCGGGCACAGGGAAACAAAACGATGTTTACAGTGGACATAAGGATGGCACTTTTGAGATAGTAACTGGTCGGTGACATGACAGACAATTGCTGATTGCAGTGAATCGGCGGAAGGAATTATGCAGTCGTCAGTTTGCGTGTTCGTACCACGTCTGCGTCACAAATTGTCCACGTGCCATGGGTCAGCAAAGAAGTTTCCCAACCCAGAAGTCGGGAGCCAGCCAGCAGGGCAGTGCTTGCTGTGGCTGGGAGAATACAAGCAGTTCAGAAGGCAGCGACAGCGGTAGTTCAACTAAGCCGAGAGCCGACCGTTGGTTGTTTTTTGACGCGTGGCGAGGTGTGCGTGCGCGTGCCCCTGTTTCGTCCGTCCGCAGCCAATCAGCAAGGAGCGTAATGTCGACTGCCGTCAAGTTGTCGCCAAGCCGGGTTTAGTCACGCGCAGCGCAGGCATTCAACTCTCAAAGGGTATTAGCACATTGAAAACCAAGCAGTGGAGACAACGAGAGCAGACTGCCACAGAACAATTAGTTGACCTTCCCGGACACTTTTATGCACACAAGAGTAATATTTAGAAATACCTCTGGAAGAGATCATTTAGAAAGGGCAATAATAGCACCTCCTAGGCTTTGTCCTCCGATGAGTGAAAGGGGAATTGAGTGTTATGCTTTTCTGCTCGCGCCATTAAATTATGCTCCGCCGCAATGGTGGAGGATGTACAATTCATCCAAGCCCGGCCCCATCCGCAGGGTGCGGTATTAGTCGCATTGCTAGTCCCGAAATATCCATTCGGCGTTTATTTCTCATTCAGCGGCATTAGCGTCCGCAAATTAATTAAGCAAATCATCCGTAGCACGACTGAGTGAATAACATTGTAACTAACTATGCCGTTTTAGGTTAAGTCGGAAGTAAAACCCCCCATAATACAGGTGGCTTTTGCGCTAAACTTCCAAAAGGGTGACTATTGTCGTGTACTAGCACCAGCCCAAGTCTTAACCCCAATCTCCCTGGAATTTGGCGAAAGTTCATCTGTACTAAGGGGGGGGGGGCGGGCTATTCCCGTTTCCATCCTCGTTTTAAGTTCTACAATGACCATCCTGGGCAAGTTAATCAAAGATGTATTGCCCATGCGCGACACTGCCGTGCTTATGAGTTTGAATGTATTTACGGATTCTAACGCATTATTCTCATGTAATTGGATCGGATCAGCCTCTGTTAAATAGACTGCCGAGAGCAAACAGTTAGATGTCGACGAGTTTGGCCATAAAGCACTCGATAGTTCGAACGCCACAAGCGATTTTGTCCACCATTGACCCCTGGCATGGGCGCAGACCGACCTGTGCGTGGATTTCTTGTCACAGTAAGTGGACTGGCATTGCCTTCATCTCATTCCCCTGTCCCAAACCTACTTTGCCCCTACTTTGCGAAGGCGACAGGAGGTGAGGAAGGGTGCAGTGATTGGCGAAGCTAGACTACCTGCCTACTCGTGCCACACGCGACCTGGTTCCTGAACTCTGCATGTGTCAGGTTTCATCGAAAGAGCCTCGAATCTCACATAAGTGAACGTAAAATATTGGCCGAATCAAGAAGAGGCATTTGCAGCCTGGCTCACTGCCCTGACTGGAGCCAGGTCACTATATCAGTTTACAATCTTCCAAGGCACAACTGCCGACGTGCCACGATGGTTTTAAAGCACATGTTGAGGCACTACGCTCTGGATCCGAGTGGGATCGGTTGCACACTTTGTTTTATCTTCCGTTTGTCAATGGCTTTCCCGAGACAAACCGATTAGGCATGAGATTGTATTCAGTGGTTAACACGTCGAAGCGTCTCTGTTTAACACGGACACTACACGGACTCTGATTTCGTAGGAGTGCAGTGTGGCATAGAAGCCTTTATAAAGTGGAGCCATTTGAGTCTGGCTCTAGCTTTTTAGGAGAACCGCGTCATCACATCACCTGGCAATTTTCAAAGTTAGAAACTACTAATAACTTATTTCGTTAGAACTGCAACAGTTTCTGATTTATTTTGACCCAACTGCGAAAAAGTCTTTCCCTTGGTTTTTCACAGTTGGGTCAAAATAAATTACACAAAATCTCCCAAAGCACCTATTAATTATTAATTTTTAAAAGAAACACAATTTTTTTCCTTTTTCTTGACTGTGTATATTGGGCGATGCTAACCCAACTAATCTGTTACTATAGCCGGTCATGTGTTTAAATTGCATGCACACTATTTGACATATAATTTGGACACTTGTTGCAAAGGCCACGAAATTCTCTCTTTTGAAAGTGTGGTTGAAACCTTTAAGAAGCCGCCTAAGTGTAAAACCACACGTAGGTGGTTAACAGACAAAGTCATCGGAGAAGAGAATGAGAGCGAAAAAATGGCATCTGATCCTAAAATCAAAACGTTCATTCCCTGTGCGTCCGCCAGCAGACATGACCAGTTAACGATTACGCATTTGGATACTTCACAGCCTCTTCCTAAAAGTGTAACCCCACTTTTTGTTTAGTCGCTTGTCTTTGGTGGCGCATTGTTGTATGAGTCCGCGCCTTTTTGTGACGTAAATTAGATGTGCTCGTGATGGTGGCGTTATAGTCCACTGGGGGGTGTAGGGGTGTCCAGTTGTGGGTCCACTTGATGGACGTAGTTGGTCGCTCACTTGCTTGCAGGTGTAGACTACGCCCAGCGTCCATTAACCGGTACCCACCTCTCATACGTGGCTCCCCGAAGCTAGGCTTTGCCTAGCGGCCACACCCCGGTAAACCGGCGGGCTAAACCAGGTGAGGGCATCCGCGTGTGCATCTCCGTCCACGGTACCTCGGCTCTGCTGGTCGGATGAGTCACCGCCTCGGTATCTACGAGACAAGACTCCATCTGCAGTACCGCAGGAGGTCACAAGGTAAGTGAGCCCCCAGGTAAGCAAGCATTGCTCTTCTGGGTTTATTTGTCTACTTGTTTGTGTTTGTTGAAAGCAAAATGCCGTTATTTGGGTTTCCGCTGTTATCTTTGCTTTTTGCTGTTTTTGCCTGCTTGCTTTTTGTCTGCTTGTTTGTGCTTGTCTTTATTGTAAGCCAAATGTCGTTCTGTTGAATTTGTCTGCTCACCGCCTATATATTTCAGAAATCTAGAGAGGGACGGAAAACTCTGCTTCTCGTCTCTCTACCCTCCTCCCATCCTCCTCCCCCCTTCAAGTCTTACTGCAATGTCGCAGACAGGCCCAAGCTAACTTGGGTCGTTCTTCCACTAAACAAAAGTCGTGGCCCATAGTGAAGTGCGAAAGCCGCCTGACAAGACTGAGCAGCCCTATTAAGGGATAGCACTGCCCACCCCCGCGAGGGGGAAGGGGCTAGAAAAGGTGCCTTAAACAAATGCAGGGGAGCCACGCCGTTTGCAGCCTGGCCGTAGCCTCGGGCGTTAAACTCATGGTGGAAGCAACCAAAGCCAAAGCAACACACTCTCTCTCTCTTCCCCCTCCTTCTCCCCACGTCCCCACTCGCCAGGCTGGTTGGGTGAGTCCGCTCACTGTGGCAGCCTGGAATGTTCGTTCCTGTGTAGACAATCTGAGGAGCAACAGACCGGAAAGGAGGACGGCACTAGTGGCTCGGGAACTGGAGCGCTACAAGGTGGACATCGCTGAACTCAGTGAAACCCGATTCTCCGAACAAGGCAGATTGGAGGAGGTTGGCGCCGGCTACACCTTCTTCTGGAGCAGTCGCCCAAAGGCAGAACGACAGGACTTAGGCGTCGCCTTTGTCATCCGGAACGACATCGTTGGACAACTGCCCTGTCTGCCACAGGACATCAACGATCGTCTGATGAGCCTCGGTCTGCATCTTAGGGGAGGCAAATTCGCCACCATCTTCACTGTCCAGGATCCTACCATAACCAGCCCTGACGAGACAAGGAACAAACTTGACGAGGACCTGCATGCCCTCCTGGCGACTGTGCCGAAGGCCGATAAGTTGATTGTCCTTGGTGACTTCCACGTCCGCGTCGACACAGACTATACGGCCTGGAGCGAAGTGCTGGGTCCCCATGGCCTCAGCGACTCCAACGATAATGGCCTGCTCATTCTACAAACCTGCGCAGAGCACCGACTCATCCTGACCAACACCTACTTCCGCCTTCCGATGCGAGAGAATGCCACCTGGATGAGTTCTCGATCGCGACATTGGCACCTGATGCACTATGTCCTCGTCCGGAGGCGAGACCGGCGGGACATGCGGGTGAAAAAGGCGATCCTGGATGCCGATGGGTAGACCGACCATCGTGTCGTCATCTCCAAGATGTGAATTCGCCTACAACCTCGCAAGGCACCTCAAGGTAAACAAACCCCAGGTAAGCTGAATATTGCCTTGTTGTTTTTGCCTGCTCACTATCTCCATTTCAGCGTCTTTGCCTTCCAGTCGCCACCGCCGCTGACGAGAACGCCTCCGTGGACAAGTGATGGTGCCAACTGCGGGAAATAGTCCAGCCGACGTCCTGGCTCTCCTCGGTCACGCACGTTGCTAGTATGAGGACTGGTTCGATGACAATGACGCCGCCATCAGCAACATGCTCGCCGAGAAGAATCGCCTGCACAAAGCCTACGCCGAAAAGACACAAATTCTTCAGCGATGGACAGAACACATCCGAGGCGTCCTCACCCGTCCTTCCATCATCTCCGACGCCGCCATCGCCCGTCTGCCTCATGTGGTGACCAACGTCGATGTATACCTCTCGCTCTTTCTCCACGAAACCACCAGGGCCGTGCAGCAGCTCTCCAGCGGGAAAGCACCCGGATCAAACGCAATCCTTGCTGTGATCTACAAGCATGGTGACCCCCAACTCATGGATCATCTGACCACAATCTAGCAGGAGATGTGGCGTCAAGGGGAAGTCCCGCGAGGTTTTAAGGATGCCACAATTGTCCATCTCCATAAGCGGAGAGGTAACCGCCAGTTCTGTGACAACCACCGAGGCATCTCCTTGCTGAACATCGCCGGGAAAGTCTTCGCTCGCATCCTTCTCAACCGCCTGAACCACGATCTGGGACAAGGTCTCCTACCGAAAAACAAGTGCGGTTTCCGCCGTTATCGTGGGACCACGGACATGATCTTTGCCCCCCGTCAGGAGATGCGGACTCAACTTTACTCTACCTTCTTGGATCTGACGAAAGCCTTCGACACGGTGAATCGCGAAGGATTGTGGAAAATCATGCAGAAATTCGGCTGTCCCAAACGATTCACCCAGATGGGGCGTCAGCCCCACGATGGCATGATGGCACGCTTTACGGACAGTGGCGCTGTCTCAGAGGCATTCGCGGTGACCAACGGAGTGACGCAAGTCTGCGTTCTCGTGCCTACCCTCTTCAGTCTCATGCTGCTTGACGCCTACCTTGACGAACACCTAGAGATCAGCATCACTTACAGGACAGACGGCCACCTCCTTAACCACAGGCGGATGCGCTTCCAGTCGCGTGTATCCACAACCACCGTCCGTGAACTTAGTCGACAACTGCGCCCTCAACACCACCTCGGAAGGGGACATGCAAAGGAGAATGGACCTCTTCTCCGCCACCTGCAATAAATTCGGTCTGGTCATCAACACGGAGAAAACGGTGGTTATGTATCAGCTGCCACTCAACACAGCCCACAATGCGTCGCGAATCATAGTGAACAGAACCCAACTGCAAGTGGTGGACAAATTCACGTATCTTGGCAGTATCCTCTCCCGCAGCAACAAAATCGACAACGAAGTTGCGCGTCGCATTTCCAATGCCAGCCAAGCATTCGACCGTCTGCAGAACACCGTCTGGAACCGTCACGGTCTCCATCTCAACACAAAGCTGATGATGTGCAAGGCAGTCATCCTGCCGACGCTGCTTTATGGAGTGGAGACCTGGACTGTGTACAAGAAGCAGGCGCGAAGACTCAATCACTTTCACCCCAGCTGTCTCCGGTGGACACTGAAGCTGAGATAGCGGGATTGGATCCCGGACACGGGTGTACTGGAGCGGAGGAGAATCCTCAGCATCCACGCCACGCTGAGACAGCTATAACTGCGCTGGAGCGAACACTTCGTGGGGATGGATGACGAGCGACTACCCAAACGACTTTTCTACGTAGATGTCGCTACGGGCTCCCGCCGACAAGGAGGCCAAGGGCGTCGATACAAGGGCATTCGGAAGACTTCTCTGACGCGTCTGCGGACCAACCTGGCCAACAAGGAAGACGTCGCCTGAGGCTGACAGACCTGCAGGAGGACAGTGAAAACAGGCGCAACGATCAATGAAGTCAACCACACCACCGCTGCCAAAGTCAAACGCGTGGCTCGCAGATCCTAACTGCGTCCACCTCTCAACGCCAACGCTCAATCACCCCGACTTGCTCACCCTACCAGCGGACGTTCCGAGCACCAGTAGCCTTGTAGGACATATTCGTACCAACCGCAGCACCCGGACTACACCAGCTGCCGTCTCCTCGTCCAGCTCTGCCCCATCCTCCACGTCGACAACCAACACTGACCACACTCCCCAACTCTCACTACCATCCTCCTCTTCCTCCATTGCCTCAACATCCGCTACGGTGGCTGCTGTACTCACCACCCCTGCACACAGTCCTGACACATCAACAAGCATTAACCTCCCCCACCCCCAACAACGCTAGCGATGTGAACTCGATCCATATCTGTCTCAACTGCAACCGCACCTTCACCTCACACATCGGCCTGGTCGGTCACTTGCGAATCTATCGCACAGAGGCTGGCGAACCAGTGTCTGGATCAACAACCTACACTCGCCGCACTCGTCTCCACTGTCCACATTGTCCCCGCACATTCACTGACGGCATGGGTCTATTAGGTCACATGCGTATCCATGAGGGCGGAATTGACCGTAGTATCGACACACCCAGCACCTCCTGCACATCCACCACGCCTTGCTCAAATCACACCCACCCGCCCAGCACACCCACCATCATCAGCTCCACCAAACTCAACACATCTGGCACATCCACCTTGCCTAGCTCAACCTACACCCCGTCGACCAGCGCATTCACCATCAGCAGTCCTATCATTTCACCATCGCCGAAACTGACAGTGACACCGCTGACCTTTCCTGTCCATACTGTCCCCATATATTCACCCCACACACCGACCTAGTCAGTCGCTTGCAAATCCATCGCACAGAGACCGGCGAACCAGTGCCTGGAGAACCAACCTACACTCACCGCGTTCGCCTCAACTGCCCTCACTGCATCCGCACATCCACCCACCGCGTGGGCCTATTAGGCCACATGCGCGTCCAAATAAACCTGCGGTAGACAACCACCGGCTACGCCACACCATCACATCCTCCCTCACCAGCATCGCATCGCACATCAACATCACCCACCACAAGCACCCAAATGTCACCTGCGCAAGTGGGAAGTGTGCGTTTTGACTCCGTTTCCATGCGGCTCCCCAGCTGCATGTGTGATTCGAGGCCGAGGCTATCACGGCGCGTCAAGCGCTGTGGCTTGGAAAGCTGCTGACTGACGCCCCAACCCAGACCACGCAGTCTGCCCAGTTGTGTGTGTGTTTGTGTGGAGTGGCGGACTGGTGGGCCGAGAACCAGACTGAAGCGGCTCCTTCCCAACGTGACCTACGGCACTCACGTATGTGAGATGTACACCGTTCAGTTCCCCGTTGTGTGAAATCTTGGCGATTGTGTTTGGGGAGACAGGTCGTGCATGTGGCGCGCGCAGACATGATCACTAGATATGTCAGCCACCGCGCCCATTCCTCGCACCCATCAATTGACCGGCTCGAGCAGTGATTGGGGCCTGGGAAGGGGAAGGGAGAGTGAGGTCGACGATTCAGCGCATTTCCTTCCCCACTATAAACAATTTGAGGCGCTTGGGGTTATCACGGTGCGCTAAAATCCGTGGATTGGAAGGTTGCCAACTGAAGGGATAACTTGGACCTCGCAGTCGGCCCAGTGTTATGTTTTTGTGTGTAGCTGCCGACTGGTAGTCTGAGAGCCAGGCTGCAATGGTTCCTTCTCAATGTGGTCTTTATGACACTCCCATCCCGTCGGATCCGAGCCAGGAGTGACGGCACGCCTAGGTACGGTCCCGGCCGTTCCAGCCACCCTTTTGTTGTTGGTCAAAAACCTGGTCATTTGCCATGTGAACTAGGGGGTGTAGAATGGAACGCCAAGGTGCGGGCTCGATCGTGCCATTCACCTGCGCCCTCACCCGCCACGAGTCTTCTTGACTCTGGCTTGACACCGGCTCCAGGCGGGGGAGGAGGAGGGAACGCGGTCTACATTCACTATAAACTAATTCACGCGCAAGTCACCGTCCCTGCTCCACCCTGGTGTGGGGCACACGGTGGACATCGTCGACAACGACGGCCAAACTGTTATAGTCCTCAGGCCTGCTTTAAAATAGTCTGTTTAAATCGAAATTTCTAAGTTTGTGTCGGAAGAGAGGCTTTTCGGATTCATTTCCTACCGGCAAAGCAGCTAAGTGCAGGTGAATTAACGCAAACTACTCTGCTTCATTCTGCCTTTCAGCCATCTAAGCGGCGAATTGAAAGGTGGACCGCCAAAGTCGCTCTTGGAAAATTTACTATATTTAACAAGTTGTACATACAGACAGGAATTTGTTTTGTGTAACTGCATGAGGTGTAACACTTCCGAAAAATTCGATAATTACTGAAACCCTCAAGACAAATGAAACTTTGAGTATTTGAGAAAAGTTTAAATCCATTCTATCCGCATAAAACATATCGGTTATCCGGGAACTTGCAAGATCTAAGCCATATGCTAGATTAAATGCTTACAGCGCTTAAGAGCCATCCTTTCATTGCAACTGAAAGGACCCCGATGATGGACAGGCGTGAATTAAACAATGATTTTCCATCGACCAAAGTTGCTAGTCTACTGATTGCTGTTGAGGCTCCAAACCTGTTGTTATCGCCACCACCTTGAACAGTCAATTAACTTACTAGATATAACGGTTTCTTACCCAACAAGACGCAATGCACGCGTGTGCCGAGCCGCCCGACGGACTGTTTTCACGCAGCTTCCAGGCAAGCTTCCTCTACTTACCGTCGTTTAAATCAACCCCCTGCATGCCTGAGACAAACAGACGGAATTTTTATGATGCTCAGCAGGTCGTTTTATTTTGTGTTCAGGCTCTCTTGCCCGATCGACTATGCCGAGGTATGTTCTCAATTGGTTCCAACCTGCTTATCACGTTGAAACTGCCCTGTGGAAAGGTTAATAAGCACATCTTGGGCAGTCAGTTCCACAGCAGGTATTGTTCCTTAACTTTTACGCCTATGTTCCTCAGCTTTTCTATGGTGTCCTCCGGATGCTTAATATTAAAATTATGATTATTGACCTCACGTGTATTTGGCACGTTTCCCTGTTTTTGATATTTCCGTCCGCTCAATTCCCATGCATTTCATTCGCCTTATCACGGTGTCTGCTATAACCTCTGTGGATGCTGAAAATTCTCTGATACTCTCCTCTTTTTCCTCCCGGAATTCTAGAAACACGCATTAGTTTTTTTTATTTTTTCCACATTGTCGTTGTCTTAATCTGCTTTTACCTCCCGAACTGAGCTCGCTGCAGATGCCCTCTCTGTTCTTGATAACGTCAAGGTTGCCCTGTCTGACGTCAGTCTCCTGATCGGCTCCGTTACCGACTCATCTGAATCACGCACGGCCGACGCTTCCAACATTGTAGTTAATGCGGTTTTTGGACAACACTGCGCAGGCCAGACCCAACTCCTAGCTTTTTTCAAAAATATCACCTGCCACTTTGCACTGCAACACAACTGGACGGCAGCTCCTGGTTGTCTAACTGGCCCTGGGGCATTTCCTTCAATTTCCTGAGGCCAGAGACTTCAGCATCTCTACGGGTAACAAGCCTTCTTCAGTCCCACTCCGAAAAACTTAACCCCAAGAGAGAATCGCCGACTGAACTATATCTCCCAGTTTACTTCTGATTTTCCTCATTGTGATGGATAGCGGAATGAGGTGGCTGACGCCTTGTTCAGATCCTCGACCTCACTCAACTGGCTGCTGAATAGCGACAAGCCAACTCACTGATCGGTTAGTTTGGCCCGACACACGGAAGGGCCTGGTGACTTTAATACGAACTTGTCTCAATTACCAATGCAGCAGGACCCACCGATATGTAGTGACATTTAAGTCCGTTTTGCTTTACTCCGTTACAATACGCATCTTAGAGAACTTGACACGACTTACTGCTCAACAGATGTAAGGCCCTTTCTGGTACTATCCCCATACCATGAGCTCCACTCAGTCATGCTCATTTGAATGTACTGCTCCCCCTCCTCCCAACCGCTGCCCCTATCTCCTTTTCTGTCGGTGTCTATTCCTCTGTCAGGTATGTGGGCGACGACCGTAGTCAGGGGACACCTCCGTCAGTGGGTTGCCAACTCTATTGGCTCCTCCACAATTGCGGTAGAAAGTAGAGCCATATTCGAAACTGCATTTTTCGAATTGATCCTCACCTTACTATGATGCACGCAGATCTAGGCTACAGCCTATCACCCGGATGCAATCGCGGTTGGAAATTTACCCACGCACAGTTAGTGACCAGGAAAAACAGAACTAGCTATCTCCAATTTATTATGTTGGCCGTTCGTTCTGTCTTCAAGTCAGATCTCAACAGCTCACCGTTGGTGTTCGGGACTAATGTCCGACTTCTTGGTAAAGGATATTTCCCAAGCCCTCGCAGTGCCGACAAGGATCGCACTAAATTAAATCGTCTCCGCTAATTTGTATGGACACTTGCCTTGACTCCACTAAGGTGCACTGCCTCGGAGTATTATCTCGAAAGAGGCATGGCGATATTTACTCACGTCATACTTTGATGCTACCGAGTCCATCGGCTGTTGGAACCACCATACGACAGCCGTTTCGGGGTAGTCTTTCAGGGGGGTGAAGACGTTTTGCATCCAAAACGGTGCTCACATAAAGGTCGTGCACATGGACCACCTGAAAACTACTGTCCCGAACACTACCAGAGAGGTGCTCTGAGGCCCGATACCCCGGATCGTCCACCTCCCCTGACTCCTATTTTCCAATGTCCTCCGTCCCCAGCTGCGCTCTCATTCTCCGCCAGCTATTCCGTAGCCGCAAACCTCCAAACCTCCGCATATATCCCTTCTGTCTAGCTTGAACGCAGTGGACGCCGTGTCCACTATCTCCATCGTTTTGAGACTGGTGCATTTAGACGCCTCTACGCGCTTACCTCTTTAGAATGAGGTATTGTGCAGATGTGTCTGGTATACTGAGTAGGCCATTTGATTCTTACCAGTAGTTCTGTCTGAAAACGGTATTTTTTGCCGAGCATACCGAAACTTATGTTCCAGGATCATGATTCTAGGTGTGCCCGGCTCTTCACTTTTAAACTACGATAGATAGGCGCCAGAAAGGCTTCTCAACAACGTAATCACCCTATTGCTATTCACGCCTGACTCGCCTAATTTAACTATCAGATTTGCTCCAAATCTCTCCGATTTCGTGATAATCTTATTATCATTCGTGCAATGATTACTCACGCCCACCCAATGTTCCGGTGTGCTTCCCTGAAATGATGAAAGTGAAAAACCTATCTGGAGTTCATGGCGAGTTTCCTGAAGCACAG